GGAATATAATGGTCCTTAGGCAAACAGGTTTTTAAAAGAGCATATTGCATATCTTAAGAGCATTTCTCTTGTTGTGGCCTTTTGGCTTTCCCCTTTGTATGTATAGTCCATGGGCTTTCTCTTTTCCAGCTTCCCTGTGCCTCGTTTCTGTGCCACCTTGGCTATATTTCCAGAACTCCTCATCCCAGGAACCAAAAGACCCAACTTGTTTCCCATCTGTACTACAGCTCTGATCTTCCATAGCTCTGAAACACAATGCAGGGCTTCTTCTCACTCAACTCTTTCCGGGTTTGTTCTGCAGCTGTGGAGTTTGAATGTTAGTGTTTAAACAAGCTGGTATTACACAGGAAATGGCCACCTCCACAGGCCCCTGCAGGCTTGTAACATGGGGTCATTGTACTTGATATTAATCACCAGTCAGCCTGTTCACCCAGTAAAAATACGAAGGGGTGTGTGAGGACTCAGTCCTCCTTAGACTTGCCAGAAGGATGGCCTGAGACCTGGTTGGACCTCAGCACTCCACTCTCCGAACTGTCTCCCTCCCTTGGCCCCGCCCCTGATGGAACTTGTAGAAAAGTTCCTACCTGACCTTTTCCCTATAAAGCTGGCAGATCTGCCTTTCTTTCTGAGTTCTTGAAAGGAGCTCTATTGTGGTATAACTTGCTTCACCTGTCTCACACCTTAACCTTTCAGAGCATTTTGTGGAATAACACCTTGTGTGAGAAAACTCCAGAAGTGCAGGAACACAGAAACCTATTAGTCTACCTGACACCAGGCTTCTCAGTTCCTTGGACTGAAGCTGCTTTTCCAGTGGTGTATGCAGAAATAACCCCAGCCTGAAGGGTTAATCTGATTCCCCAAGTCAATATCCCCCAAACAACCAGCCAAGAGTGTGTGTTGGTTCATTTCTGTGAAATGTGTTTCCCCAGTCACCTGGCCTGGCCTGGGCTGCATTGTATCGGCCAGCAGCTGCACCGCACTCAAACTGACAGCTACATTAAACCTTGGAATTCTGAGGCAATAAAAAGTAAATTAACTCTTATTTTTTTCCTTTCCTGGTGGAGTAAGTGAATGCATGTCTGTAGGGAAGTGAGTGAGCCTTGGTCCTAAGTACATACCTCTAACTAGCCACTGCTGGTCTGTCCCAAGCTAGGATCTGGTGTTCAGACTCCAGCCAGGGGTCTGCTTTCCTGGTGTGTGGTGTTTCTGTGGGGTTGGTCCACTGGGTCACCCAGCAACTGCTGATCCTTGCTCACTAATCACATTACAGCTGCTTGAGAGGTTCCCTTGCCACCATTCTGAGACCCATAAACGGACTCGTTGGACACAGTTTCATATTCTCTGGCTGCTTTGTGTCTGCTTGGTAAAGAATGCATCCGAACTGTAGTGGGATTTTGTGGGTTCTGGGAGCTTCCCCAAAATATGACTTGGGACCAGAATAAGCCAAAGGCACTCACACAGGCTCATAGCACTATTTAGAACCAAAGGTTGTTTGAGATTGTCTGAAAAACCTTTTAGAGAGTCAATTCCCAAGTGTTTCTAGAAGATTGGGAAAAAACTCCTCATAGGCACCAGATTTTGACTTTAGGGCTCCTTCGCCCAGGCTAACTTCGAACCCTCAGAACCCAAAGGCTGCTGAGGGTTGAAGCTTGGGAGGTACTCCTACCTGGGATAAGGAGCTAGAGCAGGAAAAAGCTGTTTTTCACCTTCCACTCAGACAGGAAACCCTATGTTCACCCACAGAACTGACCTGAGAGGTCAGGTTGCCCAGAGGCCTGGTTGGGGGTAAGCTGAGGTGATGATGCCCAGGTTCCAGGAATTACCTCATCCTTAGCTTGAGAGGTCAGGCATCTCGCCTAGTTTTGTTTTTGTTTTCTTGATTGATTGATTGATTGATTGATTTGAAAGAGTGTGAGTGCATGCGAGGGTGGAGAGGGGCAGAGGGAGAGAATCTCCAGCAGACTCCCCGCTGAGTGCAGAGCTGATGTGGGACTCAGTCTCACAACCCTGAGATCATGACCTGAGCCAAAACCCAAGAGTGGATGCTTAACCTTAAGACTGAGCCACCCTAAAAAAAAAAAAAAAAAAAAAAAGACGGAGCCACCCTAATGTATGGTGATTAACATAACAATAAAAATTAAAAAAAAAAAAAGACTGAGCCACCCAGGCGCCCCCTCACCTAATTTTTCTAAGTACCTCTTCTTTTTAGTACTAGTTTCCTGACACTTACCTTCCCCTCCCTCTGTGGAGAGCCACGGTATGGCATGGTGCGTGGGTGCCTAATTACTGTGTTCGTGTCCGTGGTGCTCATTGGGAGAGGAGGTAACTGATGAAGTGATCTCTGGCAGTCCCACTAAGATACCAGAAGAAAGCAACTACTTAGAATCAGAGTTCAATCACAAGACCAGTCTGAATGGATCAGGGCAGAAGTGACCTTTCATTGAAGCATTTTGTGTAATCCCTTGGTTCTGGTTAGTGTAGTGTGGCCCTTGGGCCCCTTTATATTTCTCATTTGGGAACTCAGGATACTTCCTATGTCTTTTGGCACCAGCTGCTATCTTACAAACCATCACTGGGGTAGGAACTCTAATCCACTCCATTTTTGCAGTGAGTCTTAAGGTTTTGGCACAAGGTGGGTGGTAATGGGCAAAAGGCAGCTGTGGACAGGGGTCCCTAGTGGTGGCCAGCAGTCTCTGGGGGGAGTCAGTTTGGGTTTATCTGAGCCTTAGGGGACAGGGGAGCATGGTAATGAGAACCACATGGTACCACATATTTCTTCGTCTTGGATCCAAGATGGTAGGGGTGGGAGGATGAGAGAGGGATGTGGGGCCTCCCACTGTTAAAGCCGTGGGTAATTTTCTGCTGCCTCTCTCTGACTGGGGATGCTGCTGCCCACACCTCCCCACCCCCAGCTACGTCCTGAAGCAGTCAGGTCCTTGACCTGCACAGCACCAACCAAGGCCCCTAAGCCAAGAATTCAGCTGGGAGACTTTTCACCTTCTTCCTTCTCACTGTCGTCTTTCCTGTTTATTTTCCAAATTGCTGCTCTGCAGCCGAGCACTGCCTGTTGGCCAGAGCTCACCAGCGCTGTGGGATTGGACTCAGGCAGTGGGCTCAAGTGGCCAGCAGGGCACTGGGGGAGGAAGTGGGGAGCTGGAAGAGCCTCCCTGTGCGTCTCCCATGGGCAGCGCTAACCTCGGAGGCGGCCCTGAGCAGCCCTATCACATCCGGTGCTTGTCTCTGCAGCCGGGACCGGAGGATAAACTATCAGAGCTGTGGGGCAGTGCATCATTCCTCTTATTATTTTCTTCTCTGCAGATGGGGTCGTGGAAAGTTCAGTTCCTTTTAACCCTCGAAGTTCTGTTTATTCTACAGCTGGTAGCCTGAATGCCGCGTTTCCCATTACATCACAAAGGGGCTCAGGCAGATCTCTGCACAGAAACGTGTTGCAACTGTTTATTTTTTTCCATATTTAAACATTTCTGACAGCCAAACTCAGCTGAGCCAAAAGATGGAGCTTTGTGAATGAGTCTGGTTGTCGGTGTCTGTGCAGAGAGAAGGCTTTAGAAAACTCTCGTCCCTCCGGTGATTCTTCCCAAACATGTTCTCTTTCCTGGGCAAAGCCTGTGAAGCAAGTTACTTCTGCAGTACACGTGTGTTGATTATGTGCCATTGTGTGATTAATGGGGCTGTGTTCCGCCTGGTTCCCAGGACACTCTTGAAAACAAGATGTTTCATTTCATTGCCTTTGCCTAGTGTAGTGATTACAGTAAATAAACCAGTGCAGGCTCCTTCCACCTGGAGCCAGTCAGAGAGTCCCCACACTCCTGCTCCACTTTCTCCCCCAGCATCACCTTCAGTGGCATGTCCCTTGAATGCCCTTTTTTCTGCCATCTCCCAAAGGCTCCTAGACTGCTGGAGAAACAGATTGCTTAAGGCCGAGGCCCCTCCCTAGCAGATTTGGCTCATGCGCAGTAGCTCCTCTGGGAAGATCCCAGGATGGAGCTCATTCGGAGCTCTTTGCTTCTTGCCTCTTGCCGCTCCACCTCTTGACCCTAATTGTAAAACTTTTCTTTGTAATTCTCCTGTGCAAGTCACTCCTTTTGAAGTACGACATAGCATCCATAGGTACAAAAGCTGGGACAGTCCCAGGCAAACCAGAATGGTTGGTCACCCTGTATCTAACCTTCCACAAATGAGAGAAAGGAGAGGGAGTGGGCTGGCCAAGGGAGCACTGAGACGGGTCCATCTGCTGAGATGCATGGGAAGCTTTACTGTCCTGGGATGATCTTGGCAGGCCAGGAATGAGGTTTTTTAGTTGGGGGGGCTGTTTAATTCCAGTATAGTTAACATACAATATTATATTAGTCTCAGGTGTACAATATAGTGATTCAGCAGTTCTATACGTTACTTGGTGCTCATCATGACAAATGTAGTCTTAATCCCCTTCACCTATTTGTGTTTGTTTTCCTACTTAGATGTAGGAAGAGATTTCTAAAGCATCATAAGGGGAAAAAACCCCACATGACTCTCTTCATGGCTTCATGGTGTGACTGGCCCCTCTCACTGTATGGGAGGAGGGGAGATTGGCGCTTTGTTGCTATCTTGTGGCATATACTTGGCTGGACAGAAGTGGGGGAATTCTGGGAGCTGCCTCAGGCACTGGGTGTCTAGAGTGTTTGAGTAAGTGTCTCAGGCACACTGTCTGGAAAGGTGACAGGACCTGCATTAGGCAACTGATTCTCTGAATTCCTTTTCCTCTCTGGTTAGGATTTAAAAAACTCCCCCTAATCAATTTCAACTTTGCATAGATGCACACTTGCCCACCAGATTGCTGCCATGGATGCAGTTTTGTACCCTAGCTTTTTGGGTAAGATTTTCTGGCAGTTGCCAACCATAGATAACCTTTGCCACCAGTACCTCCCTTCTCACAAGAGCTTAAAATACTTTAACTGGTCCCTCTTTAGAGCTGTTCTTCTTTCTGACCTTATTTCTCACAGGGTTGCTATGGATGTGTGGTCGATGCTGGCTGATTTCTGTAACATATTGACTGCGGTGAATCAGTCTGAGGTGCCACTGTACAAGGACCCGGACGATGACCTCACCCTTCTTATCCTGGAAGAGGATCGGCTTCTCTCGGGCTTTGTCCCCTTGCTGGCTGCCCCTCAGGACCCCTGCTACGTGGAGAAAACCTCGGATAAGGTCAGCCCCAGGCCAAACATCCCTCCCCATTCACCCCTCCTCTTAATTCTCCAGACTTTTTTTATTCTTGGGAAGTTTTCTGTGCAAACGGAACATGATTAAGTCATTGAGAAGGGTGTTAAGGGAAAATATCGACCTTTTAGCCGCTGACATCCAGCTCTGTGTCCTGAAAAAAAGCCCTCTCGACTTCCTTTGGTGTGTGTGTGTGCTCGCTGGCATGTTGTGTATACGATCATTTCCTCACTTGTTTAAATAGTGCAGCTTGTGTTGGCAGCGCTCTGCCTCAGCTCCAAATGGTTTGCATCATGCTTGAAGCACCCTCCCTCCTCCCCCCTCTCCTCCTTCCCCCCCGGCCACAAAACTCTGCGCTAGGAAAACAGCCAGGGCTCTTTCCCTTCTCTGAGGAGGAGAGTGATAAATAGGTGACTGGAGAGAAGCAGACACCATGTGTTAACTTACAAAAAAAGCTCTTAGGAATATGAAGCATTCCCCGCTGCCTGGTTTCTATTTTTCTTCCTCTAAGGACTGTGTTTTAACCTGAACGTTTTTCTGGTCTGTTTATAGAAAACAAAGCTCGTTGCCTGTTGCCCTGGTGGGGACTGTGGAACTCTTAGTCTCTGCTTAACAGTTGGGTCTTTGGCCAGGTGTGGAGGGTAGGGCAGTCTGCTCTGCTTCATGTTCCCATGTAGCAGTTGCTAGGGTGGGGAAGTAGCACCCACACACCCCGGGAACAAAGTCTCCTGTGCTGAGCTGGGGAACCCTGTGTCTGACGTCTCTGCGGAGCTGTTAACATCATATCCCCTGGGGAGGTCTTTGGGGAAGAGGCCACAAATGGCTTCTTAGGTGGAAGCCTTTTGACCTAGATGAAGTATATAGACAGGCATAGGTAGATGGCTTTTTTTTTTTTTTTTTAAGATTTATTTATATGTTTTAGGGAGAGAGAGAGCACGTGCTAGCAGGGGGAAGGGGCAGAGGTAGAGGGAGAGGGAGAGAGAATCCTCACGCAGACTCCCGCTGAGCACAAAACTGAACACGGGGCTTGATCCCAGGACCCTGAGATCATGACCTGAGCTGAAATCAAGAGCCAGCCGTCTAACTAACTGAGCCACCCAGGCGCCCCAGGTAGATGTTTTTTAAAAAAAAATGTCAGATAGTAAAAACTAAATCCCAGCCATAAACTGCAAATATGAAAGAGATTGTATTGAATAAAAAATATTGCTGTATTGAAGATTTAAAATGTTTAAACTTGTTCTTAGTAGAAAAGAGTTAATATGTTCATTAGACAAGTAAAAAAAAAATTTAGCCACAGTCCTTTTATCTAGTGGTAACATCACTGTTATTTTTGCTAATCATAATCATATTTAACTACTGGTATACACACTTTTTTAAATATAAAACTGAGAGTCATTATACAGACTGCAATCTGCTTTTTTAATGTATTCTTATATGGAATCATTTTTTTTAAAAAGATATTTATTTATTTATTTATTTATTTATTTATTTATTTATTTATTTATTTGAGATAGAGAGAGAGAGGAGAACAAATGGGAGGGGCAGAGGGAGAGGGAAATAGAATCTCAAGCAGACTCCATGCCAAGCACGGAGCCCAACATGGGGCTCGATCTCAGGACCCTGAGATCATGACCTGAACCAAAATCTAGATTCGGATGCTTAACCGACTGAGCCACCCCGGCATCCTATATGGAATAATTTTTGATTATCACTTTGTATTCTTTTTTATGCCAAGATTTCTTTAACAAGTCTTTGCTTTATTGAACCAAGGGACTATTCTCAATTTTTGCACTACTGTAAACAGTGATGTAATTCCTTATAGCAGAATTTTTGCATAGATTCCCCTTGGTTAAACATATTGACTTATCAAAAACTCTTCCTCTTTGGATGTGTTGAATGACTAATAGGGATCTTGGGAATGTGAGAGCCTCTCTCTCCTAAGAGGAATACTCATTTTATGTTTTTCCAATGAAAAGTTGGAGTGAAATCCTGCTCTTCTAGTGTCAGAAGGGGATAATAATGGGGAATTACAGTATGTGAGGCTGAGGATAACTCATACAGTGTTTACACGTTGTGGAAAATGGTCAGTTAGAAGAGAAACTGGATAAGCATGGCTTGGGCCAGGGGATCCTAGTACTGTTCCTCTGTGACTGCAAGGTGAGTTTGACTCTGGAGGGTACTTCTGGGAGTCAGCTACTGGCTTAGCTGCCTTTTGGTGCAGAACAAGGAAGGAGTCCTGACCAGCTTCACACTTCCTAACCCCTGTCTCCTCATCAGCTCTCCCAGCGGTAGTGTCAGTATGATACGTGTATGTGATACAGCATATGGTACGCTGCAGCATATGATAAGTATATGATGTGGCCAGAGAAGAATACAGAGCCAGCAGCCCATGCCCTCAGCCTGTAGTGCTGGTTCACAGGCTACCCCAGGGCAGCTGCAGCTCATGGCAGCTCGAGACTAAGGTAGGTCTCCACCTCGAGGACCGTGAGATAGGTATGTCAAACCTAACATCTCCAGATCCATATTCTCCCCTAAACCTGGTCTTTCTTTGTTCTTCCCATCTTGGTAGATAGCAGCTTTGACTCTGGGTAGCTTATATCAAAATTCTTGGGGTTATTCTTGGCTACTCTCTTTTTCTCACACCTTCATATCTAATTCATCAGCTGTTCATGTCTTCTTTACCTTCAAAATAAATGCAGATACAACTCTTTCTTACCACCCCACCCTGGATCATCTCATTGCATGCCTTCTGACTGGTTTCTCTGGTTCCTCCTTCCTCCTACTCCCCAGTCTGTTTTCAGCACAAGTGGAATGATCTTTTTAAAACATCAATAAGATCATGTCACTTCTTTTTCAGAACCTTCTGATGGCTGCTTCTCTCACTTAGAGTAAAAGCCAAAGTTTTAACAACATCCTGCAACACTCTCAGTGATATGACACCACCTCTACCCGCCCTTAACTCTGACCTCAGCTCCTACTGCTCTCCTCCTACCCAATATGCCCTAGTCACATTTGCATCCTTGCTGTTCTTCACACAAGCCAAGCACTCATGTCTGAGGGTCTTTGCACTTGCTTCCCCCTTAACCTAGAACACTGTGTCCCCAGAGAGCTGTGTGGCTCTCTCCCTTCTAAATGTCACCTTGTTAGAAGGGTCTTCCCTAGCTACTCTGTATAACATGTTCCCTTCCTTTTCTTTTTATTCTGCTTTATTCTCCATTGCAGAGAAAAATAACATCTCTTCAATATCTGTCATGTACTGGTCCCTGGATTAGGTACTTCTATATAGTATTTAATTAAGTTCTCCCAATAAGCCTGCCAAGTAGGTATTAGTACCTTTGTTCTTTTGTTGTTGTTGTTGTTATTTTTTTTTTTTTTAAGATTTTATTTATTTGGCAGAGAGACACAGCGAGAGAGGGAACACAAGCAGGGGGAGTGGGAAAGGGAGAAGCAGGCTCCCTGCCGAGCAGGGAGCTGGATGTGGGGCTCGATCCCAGGACCCTGGGATCACGACCTGAGCCGAAGGCAGACGCTTAACGACTGAGCCACCCGGGTGCCCCTGTTGTTGTTATTTTTGAAAGAGGTGACTGAGGTTCAAGAGAAGAGTGAAAAAATGATGATAAAATCCTATGGGTCATCTCCATGGCTGACCTAGAATATTAGTATGGACCTGTCAGGGAGAATCTTTAGGAACTTTGGCCTTTTAGAAATCTGAAAAAGATAGATATTTTCTCCAGCTTTTAGTGTTCAGTACCAAGAAATATAAAATATGTCAAGGACTTGTCAGTAACAGCAACATGTGCAGTTTCAGTGCTGGTCCAGATTGGTCACATGTTTGGTCCCACCTTGATGCCCATTCAACAGGCATTTACTGAGCATGTCTGTATTACACTGTCTTGCACACACAACAAGAGAGATCCAGACTTGTAAGGCAAACATCGTAGTTGGGAGGCAGTTTGTGGCATGTACAAACGTGAGAAGCAATGTAAGTTAATTTGAACCTGTAATTAAGGAGGAACTCTTGAAATCTTGTTGAGCTGGTAGTATTCCAATGAAGGCATTGCTTAAGGAGCACTGATTTGGCATTAACATATCATTGTATTTCCTGAGCATGTTCTATGGAACTCTAGTTTAATAGGTTCTTAATTGTTAGGTGAAAGGAAAAGAGTTTCGTGATTATATAAGTTATGTTAATGTTAAGTAGGGATGCCTGGGTGGCTCAGTTGGCTGGGCATCCTTCTCTTGATTTCAGCTCAGGTCATGATCTCAGGGTCGTGAGATTGAGCCCTGCATCACTGAGCTCCCTGCTCAGTGGGGAGTCTGCTTTTCTCTCTCTTCCCCTCTCATTCTACCCCTCCCCCCCATTCATACGTGCTCACTCGATCTCTCTCTCTAAAAATTAAAAAAAAAAAGTAATGTTAAACAGAATCCAATACTGCAAGACTTACTGGAGCTTTTAATATAGTGTACTGTGAGAATAGCCTTTGCAGTCTTTCCCAAACTTGCTTCACCCTTGATCTTTTTGATTTATTGAACATCTTGTAGGACTAGTATTCAGCTTAAAAAAAAAAAACCTGGGTATATGATGAACAAGAGGTAAGAAAACAGGTTGCTATTGGAATTATCCAGAAGAAAAATAAAGAGTACAGCAATAGAGTGGAGCTGGTTACATTCTGAGAGAAGCATCACATGTTGAAACCAATTAGAGCCAGCCAGGGCAAAGAAAGTGATCTTAGGTTCATCGTGTGGCTGCTGGACATCTAAATTCAGAAGGTTAAGTGATTTACTTACCCAAGGTCATGTAGCTCGTCAGGAAGTATAGGATTAGAACCCTTCCTTTTCTGTAGTACTTTAAAACCTCATGTTCTGGGACTCCTGGCTGCCTCAGTTGGTATAGAATTGATTGATTCATTCATTCTTTAAGTCTTTCCTTCCTTCCTTCCTTCCTTCCAGAGAGGGAGGGGAGGAGTGGCAGAGGGAGAGGAAGAGAG